ACACTCTTGCATCTGCCTTCTGCACATGGGGGAGAAGATTTCTCCCACTTGGGAGGGCAAGGGCTGAAGGGCAGGAAACGCCCATGTCCTTAGACATGGCCAACTCTAGTTCCTGAAGTTCTTTTTTTATTTTTTGCCTACATGGTATCTCATAAAAATACCATACATTCATGTATTTCATAGTATTCCATAAAGATGATGTACACTGATTTATTTATCTGTTCCCTACTGCATATACTGGATTTATCTGGGGGGCTTAAACAACATGAAATGTCACCTCTCTCTAGTCGGATGACCACAGCGGTAGGGCACGGGAGGGCTGGGAGGCCCTCTGCAGTACTGGGACTCAGTGGACCCTTCCCATGGAGCTTCAGGAAAGTTTATTCTCAATGGATGGTGGAACAAGGGATTAGGAACCTCTAGTCCTCAGTGGATGCTCAGCAGAGGCAGGCAAAGGGCTCAGGCCCCCAGCTCACATAACCGGCCTAAGCCTGGGAACTGAGTCATAGCGGTAGGCCACAACAGAGAGGCCGAAGGAAACATGCTCCCTTTTGTCTGCACCTGTAAAAACCCCAGTATCAGCTCCTGGGCTGCATTGTCCTGGAAAAGGGGAAACAGATGGCAACTTAATAGGAACCTGATAGCATTGTTTGGGACTGAGCAGGGAGTGTCCTCTGGGGACTGGGAGAGAAGTTTCAGCTAAGAATCACAGCAGCTTAAAGAAGGTGCTTTCTGTGCTACTTCCTCCCTCCCCACCTCGGCCCTAGGAGCTTGGAGCTGGAGAAGAATGCGCACAGGCCTCCACTGTCAGCCTGCTGCCAGTCCTGCCCAAACTCCCCAGGGGCTGTGCCCAAGCACCTTTGGGGTATGTGTGTGTGTGTGTGTGTGTGTGTGTGTGTGTGTGTGTGTACGCTGGGGGAAGGAGGGTTGGGATGGTGGAGTAGCTGGGATGGTGAAACACAGGTTAACCAGAGGGGCCTAGCCCATGAGGCATGCGTCTAGGCCTTGGGAATAACTCTCATGTCCTTGTCTTCCTTTTTCCTTTTCTGTGTCATGAACCTCGAAAGCTCTTGCCTCAATAGCTACAGATGCTAGGTCTTGCTTTCCTTAGGAGTGGTGGGGAACACGGTCCCCAACTCAGAAATACAAGCTGTGCCAGCAGCCAGCCACGTGGTGTTGGGAAAGTCCCGCAACCTCCCTGGGATTCTTACTGCTGAGGAGATGCCCAGGGTCCCCATCCATGACAGAGCCATTTGGGGCCTACTCTGCAATGCGGGTTACAGGCTGCTGTCGGGTGTCAGGGACTGAAAAATGAGCCCCTCCCAGTCTTACTCCAGTTCTACCTCAGCTCTATGGTGCCTGATCTCTCCTGCACAGAAATGGAGAAGCAGATGGAGAATCAGAGTTAAAGTCCTCTTGGGAACAAGAAAAACTGAGGCTTGTGTGGCTCTGAGGTCTGCTTAGTGACAGCCGCTTCTTTTGAGTTAGCCTAATTCAGAAAGTATAGTAAGTCCCAGATGTTATCCTGAAACACTAAGTGACAAAGTCTGCCCAGCCACAGCCATGGCCTCAAATCCTTGAGCCTAAGACATAAGCTCCCACACAGGGTTAATACCCTAGGTACCTCTTCAATGTCACTTGTCCCCAGAGTCCTCCTGGTATCCCATCCTCTTCCCTCCTACTCCCACTGTGTATTTTCTTCCTGGGTAACTAGTTGATTCCCATGGCCACTTCGAGGCCAGAGCTTCTCCAGCTCATATCTCTGATCTGCTGCTCCCCCAGACATTGTGTGGGAAAGGGCTGCTGGGTGTCTTCACCCGGGTGTCCCTGACGTCCACTGACCAGGTCTATACTGCAGCCCTCATCCTCACCCAGAGTCTCATAGATATGGTACCACTCTGGGAGGCCTCCTGGACACATTCTGCCCACGTTCTCCCCAGGGAACAAGCCCGCCCTTGGCTTCTCTTGTCCCTCCTGTCCATGGTTCCTCAAAGCACTGCCTCTTTTTCCAAGCCGAGTCCCCTGTGGTTCTGTTCATGTTACAATAAAGCCCCAGCCCTTCCTGGTGGCATGGGAGGCTCTTCCTGACCAGCCCATTGGCTGCTTTCCAGCCTCTCCCGCCTGCCCCCCTCTGTGCCCCCCTCCAGCCATCTTGAGCTGCTTGCAGCTCCTTCACAGGCTTGTGGTCCTGAGGGTCCTGTTCCCATCAGCCTCCTCTCTCCCTGGTGCCAACCTGAGCTCCTTCCCTGTCTGATGCCATACACTTGTCAGGACTTAAGCAGCATCTCTTTTCCTCCAGGCTGCCTAGTGGCTCTCATCTAGGTGTCTCCATGGCATGCTGCAGTGCCCTCGATCACTGCACTGATGACATTGTTTTAGGTGCTTCTCCAAAGTGCACTGTCTGCACAGTGCCTGGCTTTCAAGATGTGGGATGAATAGACATAAGCTATACATTAAAAATGAAAAGAAAGTTTCTCAAAGTTTTCTTGGGGGCTAGGGTTGGGACTATCAGGGTTTTAACATATTCCACTGTGTTTATGAGACTTGCAGAAGGGACCAATTTTCAATGAATTCCATGGGTCTCCACAAATCTTCATAACTAGCTGGTTTCTTCGATTTCCTTTGACTACTTGTCACCAGCATCCCCACTTTGCTGAAGAGTGGGCCACCTGGAACTGACGCCTGGTGAAACCTGGGCGTCGTTACCAAATTTAGGGGAAAAAAAGGTGGAGAACCACATGTCAGCTTCCCAAATGCTGAGGACCAAAGTGGATGGTTCCCCTGAGACTTTTTGTCTGGGCCTTCCACAGAAGCCTCGTGCAAAATTTAAGATCTTGGTGGAGCACAGCTGAGAATCTGGCATTTGCAGTGGGCAGTGGGGGTGACAATGACGTGAGAGTCCGTATTTCATGTTCTGTTCCTGGAGAATTCACTGCAGAGACAGCCTGCCCCCCACCCCTGCAAGTTCTTAACATTTTTGATGCCAACAAATTAATGAAAATTTAAATCCTGACCAAAATGATAATCCCAAGAGGGATAAAAATGTTTTTTGGCATTGGATAAAACTTTCCTACGTAAGAGCTCAAATATTTGCCTTATACGACATGTTTTGTCTCAGGGGTATAAAGTTTCTCCTCTAATCTCTAGAATTATTTCTATTATTTCCAAAATTTCAAAACCTGTTTTAAAAAATCATGGTTTTATCTAAAGTGACCCAACATAGTTAGCTCTGTAAACAGAAGGACAGGAGAAAGAAGAGGGGTTTATATCCAGGGATGAGAAGGTTATTATATTTAAATGCCAGCATGTGACATTTATTAAGAGTTGAAAAAAATCTAAAGAGCTATAACACCTTAAAAAATACTCTAATGATTTTTTTTTTTTGAAATTTGAAGCAAAGTGAAGTTATTTACTGAGTTGTTCATGGTAATTAAGAAGCAATTTATCTGTTGTAAGCTATATTTATGTATTTTTCCAATGAAGAAAGCATGAGAATTATGAAATTCAAATGATTAACATCATATATAGATTTAAAAGCAAATCTGAATAGAAATTATTTCTGTCCTTGGATGACAATTTTTCACTTTAAAGTTGGTTATTGTACTACTAAAGGAATCCACCTATATAAAATCAAAGTTGGAACAAGTTACAGTTTTAATCTGAAAAGTTTCTTAATTTTTAAAAAGCAAAGTCACACTGTGTTCCATTATGGTGTTAATAAATTGCTTTTTAAAAAGAATTACATTTAGAAAAATGTGCCTGTCCACACCTTTTAAGAAGCACAGCTATTAGAATAGCAAATGATTTTTGAATTACTATTTAGGACACATTAGCAGATTGTGTTCAAAGCTTGACAACACTCTGATGGAGGACCATTCAATTTTAGATTCGCAACTCACAGTCTCCCACAAATGTGTCAACTAGAAATTGCTGAGACACCCTTTCCCTGCCAGTAGGAAGAAAATCTGGGCTGGACCTTCTGGGCCCCAGAAGGGCAGTACAGGATGTGGACCTCTAGGTTCCTGGGTTCAAATCTTCCTATGGCCACTTCTTAGCTGAGAGATTGTAAGCCAGTTACTCGGTTTTTCTATGTCCCAATTTCTTCATCAGCAACTGGGGACTAATGTTCCCTTCTTTTTAAGTTTGTAGGGTGATTAAATCAATTGATACGAAGTGTTTATGATTGCACTTCGTAGATCCTCAAGAGATAGAAGCAATTACTATTGTTGATTTGTAAATCTCTTTCCAAGGAATTTGTATGAATCAAGGGTTATTTTGTTGTTTGATATCTTCTTAGTACATTCAGACTCTTCTGTAGAGCAAACACTTATTTTTTTATTTAGATAAAATATTTTTCTCTCCAAGTCCTAGCATAAAAAGTTCAAAAACAAAATAAAAAAGACAAAGGGGTGGGGGGGAACTGGCAAGGGTTCAAGTTTTGAGAATTGTTTTAAAGAAGTCATTGTATTCAGGTGGCCTGGCAGGCTACTGTAAACACCAGGAGATGTGAGTAGGAAGTCAGAGCCATTGTGGCTCAATCAAGTGAATGTCTTTTCAACTAAACAGATGGCTATCAGGCTACCAGGGCTCCGTTCCTTTCTGCCTGGTCATTTCCTTTGCCGAGTATCTGCAAGAACCACCCATTTTCGGGTGGTTCTCAGGATTATAGGTTTTTAGGTCAAACAGAAACCCTGGGGAATGCCTGAAAGAGCCAAATGAGCAGTTGCGTGCTGCGCAGGCCGGGTGACGTGGAGCCACTGATGTAGTGTGTAGCGGAGGCTCCTGAGTCCATAACCATGTGACATTCCCTCCCTGTGCATCCACGGGCAGCCGAGCGTGTGCTCTCTGCCTGGGGGCCGAGTTCTGAAGGAACTGTTGGAGCTGAAGGTTTTGTGGTGGGCAAAGGCTCTGTGTGAGACCCCAGGGTGGCCTCACTGGCTCCTTCATTGACCTCAGAAGTCTGAGCAGTGGCCTGCACGCTTGCTTTGCTTTGCTCCACCATGGATGAGACACAGGAGCCACTGGCCATGACCGTACACCTCCTTGCTGACTCTGGGCATGGCTTGCTTCTGCAGCAGGCTCTGGACCAGCTCCTGGATTGCATCTGCCCAGGGATGCGCCTCTTCCTGGTGTCAGAGCGCGTCCGACCAGTGAAATACTACGAGAGGCACCACCCGAGGCGGTCCCGGTTCCCGGGGATGTCTGTGCTGCTCTTCCTGCATGAAAGCCGTGGAGAGGAGCGCCTGCTTCGCGTCCTGGACTCCCTGCAGCGTCCACCCTGGCAGTGCTACCCTACGCAGGATGTGCAGGGGAGACTTCGTCCCTACCTCCTTGCAAATCAGGAGTTCTACAGCTTGGACAACCAGATGCCTGTCTGGGGTGTCAGGCAGGTGCACTGTGGCACCGAGATCCTGAGGGTGACGCTGTACTGCAGTTTTGACAACTACGAAGATGCCATCAGACTCTATGAGATGATCCTGCAGAGAGAGGCCACTTTGCAAAAGAGCAACTTCTGCTTCTTTGGGCTCTACACCACTGAGAACTTGGCTCTGCAGCTCTCCCTGAAGCAGCTGCCCCTGGGAACTTCGGTGGACCCCAAAGAGTCTTGCGTGCTGCAGTTCAAGGTTCAAGAGATCGGCCAGCTGGTGCCTCTTCTACCCAACCCGTGTGTTCCCATCAGCAGCACCAGGTGGCAGACGCAGGACTATGATGGTAACAAGATTCTGCTGCAGGTATTTCTCCTCTTCCTTTGTGGTCTTGTACATGACATGGAACTGAGTAGTTTTACTTCTCAGCAGGTATGAGTGTTGATTTAGTCTGATGGTTCTCAACCTTGGTTGCATATTAGAAGCCCTTGGGAGTTTTCAAAAAATTCCCATACACTCTAGACCAGTTAGACCAGAATCTCTGGGTGCTCAGGGACATTTTTTTTTTTTTAAACAAAGCTCTTTGGACAATTCTAATATGCAGTGGAAGTAAGAGCCACTGATCTAATTAAGTATGCTCATGTGACAGGTAAGAAAGTCAGACTTGATGAGAAATTTGCAATACTATTGACTTAATTTTTAAGTATCTTAAATCACTGTCAAATTTTACTACAAATCAAGTTAGATGGTCAGGACCTCTTCAAATCTTAAAATTAAAACCTCCTTTCCTAACCATCCTATTGAAACCAAACACAGCTAGTGTATATCACTGTTGTCTCTTACGTGTTCAATGTGGCAGCTGAGCTTTGCCACTTAGTAGTTATGTGACCTTGGGTCTCAGTTTCTTAATTGCCTCAGTGAAGTATATTGACATCCGCCTGCAACAAAGGTTCTCATCTGCACAGAATGCCCTAATACTTACCAACCACATCCTTAAGATAGTGCTCAAAACTTTATTTTATCTATTGTTGTTTCTATGTTGCCCTAAAGTCTTTAAATTGATAATTTTTAATACTCATGACCATCTAGGAAGTTGCTTTTTTTCCCATTTTGCAGATCGAAAAACTGAGTTCAGTTACTTGCCCAAGATAAAGCTTAGGAAGTGTCTATCAGACTTCAAAGTCCATGTGGTTAACTGCTGCATCCCAGGGCTCTGAGTCTGTGTATGGGTGTGTAAGTGTGCAGGCATAGGGACATATGCGATGGTTAGAACAAAATATTCCATGGCATCTGCCTTTGAGAAATGATCAGAAATCCCTGTAAGTCCTATTGGATAAAGTAATGACAGACTACAGTAGGACATGTTTTTCCTTTTAGTTAATTTTTTTGACATTGCTTTAACTTCTTAGTTAATAAAACATGAATCATACTGATTCTACATTAAATGTTTTCTGAATTATTTACCTTCTTGTTTACAAACTATGGCTAGGCACTTTCTTTTGTTTATTATACAACTGTCTAATTTCTAAGGCATCTGAAGTTTCTCTTTCAGATTTAATCTCCAGAACTTAAAGTCAGCCTCACTGGCAAACAAAAACTGAACATGCTTGAGTGGGGTAGGAGACGCCTTCTTACTCATGCCTGTTTTAAAGGCTAACTGGTGTTTTCTTTGAAACCACAGCTTATACAATTAGTTACTGTGGAAAGTTGAATCAGATTTGGAGAGAGTAGAAGGGCTTTTTTTTTTTTTGAAAAGCGAAAAACCATGAAGAATATGGAACTAGCCCCCTGTCCTCTGGGGATTGTTTAGGAGTCTGCATTTGTCCTTTATTCTCAAAGCCCACCTGGAGACACTAGCTCCTTCCTGGTCTTATCCAGAGTTCTCCCAGCTTCCTGTATTTCTGCTTTTCCACTCCAAAACACTAGCCTTGCTTGGTCCCACCACCTCCATGACATGCAAACAAAATGAGGGAGTGTCTTCTGGAAAATTCTGCCCTGGCTTCTTGTCATAAAAGTGCTGGAGGAAAGTGCACAAAGGCTTGGTTGTAGTACACCACAAAAGACAACAGACTGTAGTTTCCGCTTGACTCTTACAGTAGAGTGAATTTTTCAGAATTCAAAGTCCAGGCCAAGCTTTCTGGGAATGGAGGAAAAGGAATGGGGAGGGGGTGAAAAATTTGCCTTTGTAAAATTTTTTTGACATTGCTTTAACTTCTTAGTTAATAAAACATGAATCATACTGATTCTACATTAAATGCTCGGGATCCGACTCTCAGCTCTGCCACCTTCCTCTTGGTTTTGCCCTCAGCCAGCTGGCTGCCAACAGCCCCAGGGACTACATTCTTCACATGGGCTCTGTTTTGGTGTGGATATGAAGTGTCCCCCAAAAGCTTATATGTGAGATAATGCATGAATTTTCAGAGTTGAAATGACTGGGTAGTGAGAGCCTTCACCTAATTGGTACATTGATCCATGATATGGGTTAATTGAGTGGTAACTGTAGGCAGGCAGGGTGTGGCTGGAGGAGTTAGGTCACTGGGGTGTGCCTTTGGAAGGCTATGTTTTGTCCCTGGTGAGGGGCACCTTCTCTTTCTGTTTCCTGGTTTTCATTTACTGAGCTTCTTTCCTCCTCCACACCCTTCAGCAATGATGTGCCACCTCTCCTTGGGTCCAGAGCTACCGAGTTGGCCATCTAGGGACTGGTAACCTCTAAAACTGTGATCCAAAATAAACTTTTCCTTCTCTAATTGTTCTTGTTGGAGCTTTTGGTTACAGTGGTGGAAAAGCTGACAAAAGCAGGCTCTGAGTGCCCACAATAGTCCAACCAAATTCCTGGGTCCACTCTAATCGGACCCAGTTGGACCTGATTCTCTTCTCTAAACCAGTAATTACACTCAGGAGAATGGGACGGTGTGGATTCCTTTAGTCCTGAGGTGAAGGCCCTACTTTCTACCCTAAACTGCGGAGTCAAACTGGCCTCCGGTACTCTCAGGGAAGAGACAGTTTCTCCAGTGAAGATCAGAGCAGAAGAGACAAATACTTAGTGCCTCCAAATGATTCATGTCCAGTAAATACAAGAAAATAAAACCTACTCAAGGGAAAACCACAACCTCAGGTTAACCCTCCACAGATAATCCCTCCTTGGGGCCAGGATGGAGGTAGCTGTGCCCAGGGGCCTGAGTGTGTGCTAGACCCAGGGGCCATGGAGAAGCTCTCCTAAGGAGCAATGGCTGACCTGCATGATGAGCTGGATGGACAGAAGGAAGTAGCCAGCTGCAGAAAGGAGGAAGGGCATTCCAAACAGAGGGCCAGCAGGGCACTTCCATAGCAGGGCACATCCAGCAAAGTGCCTGGAGAGCTGTGTGGCTACAGTGAAGGCAGGAGTCGGGGGCTGGGGGGATGATAAGCAGGTGGCCAGAGGCCAAATCATTAGGAGCATGGTCTGCCATGGGATATAAGAATCTTTTCTAGTTTTCTTCTGTGAAGCTGAGACCTAGACCAGTGTGTGCCATGTGACGGGCAAATACATTCTTGTATGAATGCATGGGTTCCTTGATAAGTTAGTTCAATTATAAACTTAGTGTAATGAGTGGTCACTGATGGATCCTACGAATGGTACTGACATGTATAGTCTGTTATGAGAGAACATATGTGGAGGTGTTTGGTAACGTAGAAATTTCCAGAGACCGTGCAAAAGCAATGGAGGTGTGACTTGTGCTTGTCAGAAGGCCACAAGCTACCTTGCAGTATGCATCCATTCCACATGATCTTTTTTTTTCTTCTTTTTTAAATTTGTTTTAATTAGTTACACATGACAGTACAATGATCTTGACATATCATACATTTGAATCAAATGGGGTATAATTTCTCATTTTTCTGAGTGTATAGGTTGCAGAATCACATTGGTTATACAATCACGTATATATATACAGCAATACTAGTGTCTATGTCCTTCCTCACTGCAGATTGTCCGATGTTTCTCAGAATCATGCTTATTTATTCCAGAAATATTTACTAAGTGCCTAACCTGGGCCAGACCCTGTTCTGAACCCTGTTCTCATTTGGGCTGTTTTAATCCTGCATCTTCAATTCTTAGTGGATGTACATATAGAGTGGTTTTCCTCTTCTCTCTCCCCATTTTGCAGTCCCTTTACTTTCTCCCTGTGTATTTTTAAAAAATTTATTTATTTATTCTAATTGGTTATACATAACAGCAGAACACATTTTAATTCATAGTACTCACATACAGCACAATTTTTCATGTCTCTGGTTGCTCACAAAGTAGAGTCATACCATTCGTGTCTTCATACATGTACTTAGGGTAATGATGTCCATCTCATTCCACCATCTTTCCTACCCCCATGCCCACGTCCTTCCCCTCCCTCCCCTCTGCTCTATCTAAAGTTTCTCCATTTCTCCCATGCTCGTCCCCCATCTCCATTATGGATCAGCATCCACATAGCAGAGAAAACCTTCGGCCTTTGATGTTTTGGAATTGGTTACTTCACTTAGCATAATATTCTCCAACTCCATCCATTTACCTGCAAATGCCATGATTTTATTCTCTTTTAATGCTGAATAATATTCCATTGTGTATGTATACCACTGTTTCTTTATCCATTCATCTACTGAAGGGCATCTAGATTGGTTCCACAATTTACTTTTGTGAATTGTGCTGCTATAAACATTGATGTGGCTTCATGGGATATATAAAGAACTCAAAAGACTTAACACCAAAAACAAACAAACAAACAAACAAAAACAAATAACCCAATCAGTAAATGGGCCAAGGAACTGAACAGACACTTCTTAGAAGATGATATACAATCAATCAACAAATGTATGAAAAAATGTTCAACATCTTTAGCAATTAGAGAAATGTAAATCAAAACTATTTTTAAGATTTCATCTCACTCCAGTCAGAATGGCAGCTATTAAGAATACAAAGAACAATAAGTGTTGGTGAGGATGTGGGGAAAAGGCACACTCATACATTGCTGATGGGACTGCAAATTGGTGCAGTCAATAAGGAAAGCAGTATGGAGATTCCTTGGAAAACTTGGAACAGAACCACCATTTGACCCAGGAATCCCCAAAGGACTTAAAAACAGCATACTATAGTGACACAGCCACATTTCCCTGTGTTTTTGTCACTGGTGGAAGCAATGATGCCTGTGTGTGTTAAGGGAAAGAAGAATGGGCAATGATGCCCCCCACATTTTCAAACTTCCTACAAGTTAAACCCTGCCCTCAATCAAATAAGCTGTTTAAGAATGAACCACACACAGAATCTGTAGGTCAGCGTTGCTGGTTCTCAGCTTTCCACACCTGAGCCCCATGCTCCAAAGTTGCATTCATGGTACTTC